TTATATAAATAAATATTGTGCTGTTTAACTATTCCATATTATTTTTTTGAATATTTATTTGAATTATTATTATTATTGTTTATTATTGGCCTTCGATAGTTGACTCTGGGCCGATGAGGTCAACTTCGAGACAACACGTGTGAGAGCACGATTTTCAGCACGTAAACGTTCGTTCTCATTCTTTAACTTCTGTAGTAGCTACAATTACAACAATTAGAAAATAAAATCAAAGAAATGTGGAGAGAGAAAGAGAAATAGAAAGAAAAACAAATTCATGTAAACGGAAGATAAACAAATGCATGAATTTTGAGTTACATCATGAAGATATTCGTTCGAAATCAAATGATATGCAAAAAAGAAAACTAAAACTCAAAACGAAATAAAATGCAAGGAAAAGGAGTTGTGAGGGGGACAGGTAGAAAATGTTTTGATTTCTTGAGATAACACTATGCCAAAGTGTTTTTTTGGAAGAGTTTGTAAAAAAATCGTTAAAATTATTTTTGAAGTGTAATTTTTGACCCAATGTTTAAATTTCTGTTGCATAGTGTTATTTCCAAATAAAATGAAATGATTTGAAAGAAAAATAATAACTAAAAAATGATTATTTCCTCAATGAAAAAAACGAACAAAAAAACAAGGGAATTTCATGTATGGTCATCTTTTTAATTAAGAGCCTGAAAGTATGCTACAATTTTGTGTTGCATATGAACCAAAAACAAAGATGATGGAATGGGTGTTTCCACGCATAAAAACAATAAAAAGCACACAAATAGACAATCGAAATGTCAATTTAATGGTGGTGGTGGTGGGGGAAGGTAGATGACATTTTTATAAACGTGCTCGGTGGATAAAATATTAAAAATAAATAAAACAAAAATAAGAGAAATCAACACTTGATAGACATGTAATTAATGTTTTTCTTTTCATTGTTAAACAAATAAAAAACAAAAACAAAATATGTATGGACAAAAACAAAATAGTAATATTATTAATAAAATGGATGGGATCATATTGTTGCGCTGCCTGTTCCCAAATACTATTTACAAAGGTATAACACAAAAATCTTGATGTGGTTTTGAGGATTGTTTGTTTGTCTGTTTGTTTATAGAAGACAGTCTAGATGATGTAAGTTTCGTTATGATATGATGAAGCTGATGACAACAAACAATGGTGATGTTGTTGTTGATGAGAGGAGTGATAGATGATGAATGACAAATGAGATGACATGTAACAGATGACGAGACGTACACACACATACACTGACATGGACATATAACCGAAAAATTCACAACTCAAAATGTCAAATAAAATGATAATCTATGGCTGATAATACAGTGTGGTGATGTATATGTGATAATAAGAAGGTTTTAAAGTTAATATTTCTGTAATAGTTTAGCATTCACAATTCGTACTTTTTTATGGTTTGCTAAGAGTCTATGTAATAGTAAAAGCAAAAGATATTTTTATAAGAAGATCGGTAAATATGGAATAATTTCGTTTCGTAAGCCTATGGAACACTATATCAAAAAACACAATAAAATTCAAGCAATGTATTTCCAATAAGAGAATGCTCCAATGCTTCCAACTAAATGCTCTAATCAAATTTAAAACAACGAGGGACTGATAAATCTGCCAATTTTGTACCAATTTTGTAGCTTAAACAAGAATATATCGAACCGAAATTCCAAATAACTTTTTGCACCATCAGCCTATAGCCTCAAAGGGTATACATCATTCTGTAGAAATCAGAATGAGTCTTATGGCAATAGTGGTTTTAATCCCCATGACCAATATTAATACAATACATCTGGTATATCCCCCATATAGTTCCTGAGTTTGGAAAAAATTATAAATCTTATATATTGCATATATATCGATATTGGCCAAATCTCAAAAAAAAAAAAAATTATCAAATGGAAAAAATTATATATCTTATATATTGTATATATATCGATATTGGCCAAATCTCAAAGATTGTAATATTTGTGTCGTGTCTGGTATGACAGTGGGTTTTAAGGTCCAATCCTTGCGATATTCCCTTACAAACGGTCAAAATTATAAAACACATTGTTGAAGAATCATTCCTATCATAAAAATAAACTCAATATTTTCGTCAATACAAGGTGAGATGAAAAAACTGAAACCAACTTCAGACTGATGTAATTTCTAAGCCACTCATCCGACAGCTGTTAAAGTTATTCCTGTGACAGTTCATTGTATTGTTTACAAGCGTACAAAAGCATTTTGGTGAGAATTTTCCAGGAAAAAAAATTATTTCTGATGGAATTCAAGCGTGACAGAGTTATTTCTTTATATTTGGCTGGAAAACCACAAATGGCTATCGTTAGAGCACTCCAGCATTTAAATGTGAATAAATTTGTTGTGTTTCGTACCATCGCCCGTTACCTGTTAGTGTAACCCGACGTCAAGGAAGTGGACGAAAGAAAACAGCAATATCAGCAGAAATTGTTCGAAAAGTAAAGAAGCGACTTGATCGAAACCCGCGTCGCAGTGGCCTAAAAATGGCTCGTGAGCTGAACATATCACAATATTCCATTCGGCAAATATTGAAAAATGAGCTTGGGGTAAAACCATCGGAATTCCAAAAAGTGCAAGAACTTATACCGCAACAGAAAGAAAATAGACTCAAAAGAGCTAAAGAGTTGCTGCGCTTGGCCGAAAGTGGTGAACTGCCGAATTTGGTTTTCTCCGATGAGAATACATTCGTTGTCCAGCAGTTTGTAAACAAACAAAATGATCGTGTTTACTTGCCAAAGAGGTCAGCTGAAAACGTGCACATTTGGTTGGCCACCAGAACTCAAGCGTCGGCCATGGTGATGGTGAGGCCCGCCATAACAGTCGATGGTCGCTCTCCGCTCGTATTAGTCGATCTGGAGGGTGTATTAAAGCCAACAGGACTCAGCACCATCGTAGTCAGCACGCGCCACCCAAGAATGGTTACAAAATGAGGTTCATCGCTTCATTTCCAGCCCACAATGGCCACCAAAATCTTCGGATACCAATCCGTTGGACTATTGTATCTGGAGTATTTTGTAAAGCAAGGTTGGCACTAAAAAATACCAAAGTGTCGAACACATTAAGCAAGCGCTTCGCCGGGAATGGACTAAAATATCGCAGAGCAACATACGGACAGCGTGTACCGGTTTCATTCGCCGTTTGAAGGCCATAATTCGTGCCAAAGGTGTCTAATTCGAACAAATTTAAACTTATTCTAAAATTTGATGCTATATCCGACATTATTTGCTTTCATTCAAAAACATTTAAAAAAATGTAAAAATTATAGCATTTGACTTTGTTGCATTTCTTTTTATCTCAACCTGTATAGGTCCACTATATCGTATAGCACACATACAATCGTACCCTCCGATATTCGATATTTTGACGATTTTAGGAACATTATTTACCGGAATTGTTAAAAATTTCGTATTTAGAGTTCGAAATGGGAACTACGGTCTATGACAAAAACTTGTCAGGTCTTCGAATAGGCCCCATACATCAGTACCTCTCTATATTCGGTATTTTGATGACTGTAGGTATAGTATTCACCGTAATTGTTAAAAATTTCGTATTTGAAGTTCCTTATAGGTACAACAGCCTGTGACAGAAAATTGTCTATACAGGTCCAGATATTCATATAGCCCCGATATAACGGTATCTTCCTATATTCGTCTTTTTGATGATTTTAGCTAAAATTTTAATTTTTTTTTCAAGTTTCCTATTTGAATATTGTAATGGCATATGACAAAAGAGGTCTATACAGGTCTACGTCTTCGTATATATCCCAATATAACGGCTATATTCGGTATTTTTAATAGTTTAACATCATTTTAAAGGATTTAATTTTTTTAATTCGTTCCAAATGGTGGAGGGTATTCAAAGTTCGGCCCGGCCGAACTTATTGCTTTTTTATTTGTTGTATTTTGTCCCTCTCATTCTTAAATGACTGTCACAAAGTCATGCAGTTGGGTTATCTTGGATTTTATGATGCCCTTTGCAGAAGTGCAAATACAGATGTCCCAAACTATAGAACATATTGTATTAAATAAGATTTTGCCTGCGAAGATTAAAACTCTAAAAATAACAACATTTTTGTACATTTTAATTATAATAAAATTAAATAAAATTTGTTTGAGGGAAAAGTACGAATTGTAGAGCAACACATATATTTAGTTTTGTTCCATAAAAATGCACACATAAAGTGTAATATTATTTTATTAATTATTTTTTAAATATTTTCAGAAGTGTTTGTGATCAAAAAGGTGTCTATAAAGTCCAAAGTACAAACTTTAGTGTAACACATACAAATTTGCAATGTTGGGAAAAAATCATCAGTACGAGTATATATTTTGTAAATAGAAATAGTATATCAGAGTAAATTGTTTGGTTTTTTTCTTTTTGTTTTATGTAGAGAACAATGATATCAGCACATTTTCTCATTTTGTATAAACAAATCATTTTGAAGGGCACAGCGAAACATTAAAACATATAAATTTGTAGTTGGGTAAAAAACGCAAAAAAATAAATAAAAATCAAAGCAAAAGCCATACCTTTTGCACATCAAAGTAGAATACAACAAAAAAATAATAAAATCAAAAATCAATTAATTTTTCATTGTAAACACAAAAAGGCAAAACAATAGAGGGCGGGTCAAAAAAGGCGGCGTTGACAGCAGCAGCATTATTTTTAGGAGGGTATTTTCTTAGAACGATTGACTAGTATTTGGCAGTGTTAAAAAGTGTTAAGAAAAAAAAAAACGATAATTTTTGTATCAAATTCAAATTGTTAAACGTGAGAGAAAATAAATAAAAAAAAAACAACAATATTGCGGCATTGGTTGGTGACACAACAAGGTATATAAACAATATAAAAATAAAGAAACAAAACAACGACAAAGTGAAACAATAAAAAAAACAAATTAACATTAAGGAAGGGGGAGGGAATAAAATTTCCCTCCCCCCTCTCTTGCAAAAGCTATTTACCTTGAGCTCTTCTTCCAATTCGGAAAGTTTTCGTTCCATAGCTCTCCTTTCGCGCTTTTCAATCTCTGACAGAGAATTTTTATTTGTCTGCAAAAATTTTCAATGTTTGCAAAGAAAAAAAAAAAAGAAACAAAACAATTGATTTGGTGTTGGGTTGGACATTTTTTTTTGCAGCATTACAATTGGTGGGTTTTTTTTATTTTTATTTGTGTTCCAAAGGGGAGTGAAGGCAAATTGTCATAATTAAATACAGTGCATATTTACAGGGACATGTAAAGTGTAGAATGTTTACACCAAAGCTTCCGGTGGGTAAAAAGTGAGAAAAAAAAACAACTGCCAACAAATGTAGGGGGAATTGTTCCAAAAAATATGTAATAATTTGGCTGCTTATAGAACTCCCGTTTCAAAAAAAGACAAGGATGTGAGGTTGAAAGTTTCGGGTCTTTCACCCGAGCAAAAGTCAGCGGTAGTGGTAAAAACCCCAAAAACGAAATCAGAATAAGAAAAAAGCGCCGCATATTTTTGTTTGTGTATGAAGAGTTATTTGTTTTTCATGGAAAGTCACCAGTTTACAGATATGTACTTTCCATCTCTGGGAGATGGCTTCAACAAATTTAAAAATATAAAATAAATAAATTCAGTTTTCCTAGCGCACACAGAAAATATTTATATATTACAATGGAGCATATGTTATAAGCTCAGTTTTTACAATTGTCTTTAAAACTACATAACATTGATATCTGCGCTAGTAAGGAAACTAATCGAATCTTGAGTCCTTTAACGACTGCCTTTACATCTTCCGTGAAAATGGCCTTCATTAAGCCAATAATTTACTAATTGAATTGGGCATTTACTCATCTTTAAAAAGGGTCTTCATCAAGCCCCTAAAAATACTCTTTAATTGGCCCGTAATACAGGCCTTCATCTAGCCCCTCGTTCGTCTAAAAAAATGGCCTACAGTTTATTTATAGGGAGGTTTTAACTCGCGCATAAAACGGGTCCTCATCCTAAAAAAATATGATTATCTAAAGAGGACCTTCAGCACATCTTAAAAAGAGGTCTTTCAGTTCGTCTTTAAAGTCAGCTTTAAGATCGTCTATTAATAGAGCGTTCAGCTCGTTTTAAAGAGAGCTTTCAGGTTGTATTTGAAGAGAGCTTTTAGGTCGTCTCTAATAAGAGCTTCAGGCCTGTATTGAAGAGAGCTTTCAGCTCATCTATGAAGCCAATGAAATTGCCATAAAAGGGGCCTTCATCTTGTCCTTGAATTGAAAAATTCTCTTTGATTCGCCATAATAAGGACCTTCACCTACCCTCTAGTACGTCTATTAAGAGGGCCTAGAGTTTGTCTATAGAGGGCCTTTAGCCCGCCCATAAAAATTATCTCCAGCTTGTCCATAAAAATGGTCCTCATCCCATAAAAATATAATTCTCTAAAGAGTACCTCCAGCACCTCTAAAAAATTGTTTTGAGCTTCTCAATAAAGATGTCTTTCAGTTCGCCTTTAAAGGGTGCTTTCAGCTCGTCTATAAAGAGAGCGTTCAACTCGTCTCCCAAACGGACCCTCAGCACGTCTATAAGGTCAGCTTGTGTATAAAGATGACCTTCAGTTCCATTTAAAGAGTGCTTTCAGGTCGTCTTTAAATAGAGCTTTTAGCTCGTTTATGAATAGAGCTTTCAGCTCGTCTTTAAAGACAACTTTTAGTTCGTCTTTAAAAAGAACTTTTGGCTTGTATTTAAAAATGGTCTATAAAAAGATCCTACACTTCTCCTAAAAAGAGGTCCTTCAGCTTGTCTTCAGCTTATTTATAACGAGGCTCTTTAGCTCACATATAAAGGAACTCCTTCAGTTCGTCTCTAAAATGAGTCTTTAGTTCACCTTTAATAAGGGATCCTTTAGATCACATAAAGGTCTTCATCTGGCCTACAAAGAGGTCCTTCATTTCGTCTCTAAGGAGGATCTTCGGGTTGTCAAGGTTCTTTAGAGTTCGCCTATAAAGAGGTCATTCGGTTCGTCTTTAAAGAGGACCTTTAACTCGCCTAAAACGAGGTCATTTAGTTCCTTAGTATACATATAACGAGGACCCTTAGAACTCCTATGAAAGTGCCCTTTATTGCGTCTATAAATATTTTGTCTATAACGAGGACCTTCAGCTAATCCGTACAGTCTATTCAGACTTCCCTTTAACCGTCAATAAGAACCTCCTTCTGCTCATCTAAAAGACTCCCTTTTAACTCATCTATGAAGACTTAATTTAAATCATGCATAAATCCTTCAAGTCGCCAAAAAAGGTCCTTCACTTCGTCCCTGAATAGTTTGTTTATAACGAGGACCTTTAGTTTGTAAAGAGAGCATTAAGCCCGTGTATAAACACTCCCTTCGAAGAACCTTCTCATACTCATCTCAACATGACCCTTCAAGGGTCTGTAAGGAGGAAATTAAGCTCGTGTATAAATACTACCTTCTAACATCCAGTTAGAACCTCCTTCTGTTAATCTAAAAGTACTCCCTTTTAACTCATCTATAAAGATGAGCTCGCCAACATTTAGCTCATATTTTTGTAGTTCGCGTCCTTTTGAGATGTCTTTTATAAGTAGAAACCCTATGAGAAGTTTTCTGTAGAGAAAAGGTCTTATTTAAGAAGTCTTCTATACACAGAAGAAGCCATGTATTAGGACTCGAATTGCCATAAGATATTAATGCGGTCCACGGGAAGACCTTTAAGCGGTCCTGTATATAGGGATGACCTTGAAGAGGTTTTCTATGTATGGAAAACATTTTAGACATATAGGCAGAGTCCTTCTAAGATTTCATATATAGAAAACCAGGGGAGTCTTCTCCACTCCGAAAACTTTTGAGAGGTTAACTAGGCGAAAAATGCCTCGTTTTATTACGATTAATAAATTTTCGGATCGATAAACAGCTGATTATCCCAAAAAGCGAAGAAGAGAAACTTTTTAATGAGTCCTCGAAGATGACTTCTTGGGATAGAGAACGTCTACGAAATCTTATATGAATATGTCCTTATGAATTCTAAATAATTTAAATTCAGAATATGGCTTTACAATGTAAACATTATTTTCTGTGCGCACTTGTAAAAAAAAACTTACAAAAATATACCTACATATAATGCAAATAAATCTCCGTTATAAGTGGATATATTTTTTCAATCCTCTCAAAGATATTGTCAAACACCTTGTGTTTGGATTGTGTAAATGTTGTTGTTGTGTAAGTAAATGTAATTATTTTCAAAATTTACATTTTCCAAAAAAAAATTACTGTTTTCATGTAAAACATAATATCAAATATTCGGAAGAAAAACTGTGACCAAAACCCCCATTTGGTGGGTTCTAATTAAACCCACTTTGTAGAGTATTTAAAAAAAAATATTCAATATCCAAAAATGAGAACAACAAAAATTTACTTACAGCATTAGCAAATCTTTCCAATGTGGCACGTGTCTGTATAACCTCGTCGTCTTTCTTCTTCAGCTGTGCCCGTAGTTTTTCATTTTCCAATCTGGAAATAAAAAAGAAATTTACAAAAATGTTCATTTCAATCAAATATCTCCTCCATTGGATAGCAGAGCATATCAGCCTCCCCTTGACCACTTCCAGTTTGACTATGGCCATGGTATTACACTTCACTACTTACTTCACAGCTTCCCACAAGGCTTTGTAATCGATATTATCACCACTGCTTTCTGTTTTATCACGTGTCTTCTTATCATCTGTGGCCGAACTGGTCGATGTGGCTACCGACACTGTGCTACCGGCACGTGATCGTGAAGCACGATTTTCACTACCGCTCTGGAAAAGCAGAAAGAAAAACAAAAACATTGAAGGGATTAAAAAACGTTGGACATACAAATCAAGTAAAATTAAAAAATATTGAAAACCTTTATACAAATGCAAATTTCTTTCGGAAATATCTGTAGCAAAAACTAGGAGGGTCCTTTTGGAGGTAAATTTTTAAATAAAAAACATGTGGTCAACTCTAAAAGATTTTTAGAGATAGAAGACCTCCAAGATTTTTTTTAATCAGGTAGGTTTAAGAGATCTTCCATAAATATTTGACCTCTAAGACGTCTTCTATGTAAAAAAGGCCTTCTTGACTGTCAAAAGGTCTTCTATGGATAAATGTTCTCCCAGAGGTCTTTAATCAATAGATAACTTTCAAAAGTTATCCAATGAGTAAATGACCTCCAAGGTAGAGATGACCTCCAAGAGGTCCTTAAAGGCCTTCTGTTAGATGACAATCAGGGCGTATTTTACGAATTGATGACTTCCAGAAGGTCTTCTTAGCATAAATGACCTCCAAGAGTTATTCTATGTTTGGATGACCTCCAAAAAGTCTTCTAAGAAAGATGACCTTCAAGGGTTTTCCTAAGGATAGATGACCTCCTGGAGGTCTTTTAAGGATAGATGACCCCCAGAAGGTCTTCAAAAGATATATGACCTCCAGAAGATCTTCTAAGGATAGATGACCTTCTGGAGGTCTTCTAAGGATAGATGACCTCAAGGAGGCCTTCGAAGGACAGATAACCTCCAGGTGGTCTTCTAAGTAAACATGACCTCCCAAAGATAATACATGAAATATAACCTCAAAGAAGAATTCTTTGACAAAATGATCTTCACAGAAATAATCTATGGAAGATGACCTCCGAGAGGTATTCCCTGACTAGATGACCTCCAACAAGTATTCTGAGAATAGATGGCCTTCAAGAAGTCTTCTAAAGACAGGTGACGTCCAAGAGGTATTCTAAGTATAGATGTCCTCCAGGTGGTCTTCTAAGTATAAATGATTAAGTCTTCTAAGGAAAAATTACCGCCAAGGGGCCAGAAAGTTTAGATGACTTTCAATAGGCCTTTTAGGGATAAAAGGCCTCCAAGGGCCCAGCTATGGAACCTCCAAAGGAACCTCAAGAAGGGCTTAAGGCTATATAACCTCTAGGAGGGAGATAGATGACATAGGTCTTCTACGCATAAATGACCTCCAATAATAGAACACTCCCAAGTGAGGACAAAATATAACCCCACCCCTCTTTTTTTGTTAACAAAACAACAAAGTGTTCCCCTCTACTTTCCCCCCGCAAACGTACTTCATAACCTTCACTCTTCTCCGATGAGGCACTGAGAGATCTCTGGGCAGCTGTACGTGAACGGGAACGTGTACGCGATTTCCTCTCCTGTTCCCGCAGAGAACTGCTACGCGAAACAATGGCAGCCATTGCCGCCGCATTTGGTGTTGATGCCGCTGAACTGCCGGAATATCCATTTAAGCTGCTATTCGATGACGACATGGGTTTTGTTGCACTGAGCGAGGAACGTGAACTGGAGAGATTTTTATTCAAATAGGAATTGGAATTTTTGGCAGCAGCTGTACCCAAACTCAACGATGCTGTAGTGATGCCGTTATCATAGGACGAGGCATAGGGACTTTTGTAACGATGATCGGAGCCGTAGGAATTGGAGGACGAGTAGCGAGATGTGGGCGCATCATAACCATTGGAGGAGGCTGTGGTGTTGGTGGGCGTTGGGTTGGAGGGTGTCGACGCAGAAGATGTGGAAGAAGAATTGGAAGAATATTGAGATTTGAAATTTGCTTCATTGGAGTAGGAATTATTATTGTGGCTGGAAGAGGAGGTACCTGTGGTGGCCGATGATGAATTGCTGGATGAATAGAGGCCTGAAGCTGTGCTGGTAGAAGCATATGAAGGCGATGATGACTTGGATGAGGGTGATGGTGAGGCGGCATGCGGTGAACGCATATACGATTTGGGTGATGAATGATGGTACGACAATCGGCCATGTGAAGAAGCGGAGGACGAGCTGGCAGCATTTGTCACATAAGCATGGTGATGCTGATGATTGGAAGAGGAGGGTGAGGGTGGTGGAGGCGTAAGGGAAATGGTAATTGAATGATGATGAATCTGATTTTGCTGTTGCTGATGGTGATGATGGTAATGCTGTTGACTGCTGCTTGTTACTAATGGCGATGAAGATCTCGGTATTTTAGTGGCAGCAGCAGAGGCGGCAGCTGAGCTTTCCTTGGAGCAAGCAGCAATGTATTCATGGCGATAGCTTGAGGCTGATGATGCTGCGCTTGCTTTATTACCATTCGAATAATAACTGTTGCTATTGCGTCCCGCTGATGTGCCACTGCCATAGAGATTATCTCTGGAGGAGTATGTACTGGCATAGGGACTTTGATAATACGACGACGAAGCTAAATTCGAATTGGAACCATTTTGATAGTAACCGGTACTCAGGGGTCTCGAGGAACTTGACGAGGAACTGTAGCCGCCATTAGATAGACCACTGCCATACGATGTGCCATTGTAGTTATAGGCGCCGGCACCTTGAACCCTGGAACTGGACAAAGAACGCCGTCTCGAAGAGGAGGAAGCCAACGGTTGGCTGGCACGGGAACGTGAGCGAAAAGACATGTTTACGCTCGTCTACACAGATGTATGCAAGTTTCGGTGAATTTCAATTTGTCGGTAAATTTCAAAACGTTTCTCTCTGAAGAAATTGAAATTTTAAACAATTGTCTTTATTTGTTTGGAAATTTTCTTCGAAGAATAAAAATTTAACAACGCATTTTCTTTTCTTTCTTTCTCTGATGAAAATAAATTATTTGTTGGGGAGAGGAAAGTAGGTAATTTTTCTTTTCTGCTGTTTTTTTTTTTTTTTTTTGGTAAACAATAAGGAAGAGATAATGTTTATTTATAATACTTCAACAACGTCAACATTTTACGTCATTTGATCTTTTGTTTTAATTTTTTTTTCATCGTCTGTCTGCCTTCTCGGCACAAATTCCCATTATTTACATTAATTAAGCGCCGAAATTTATGGCAAATTTTTAATTACAACCCAAAGACCGAATAGCCAACCGCCCAAGAAACCATACCGCCGCAATTATTTGGATAATGGATGGGGGCAATTAGAATTGATACAAGGTATGTAAGAAATGTGCTGCCATCATTTATAGATGAATTCTTTATAACGCCAAGTGGACTAAGTCCACTATAACACATACCAAAGGGTGCACCACAAGGATTTCCGATGGAAAACATAGATGTCGAAAAACAACAGAAAAGATATCTGCAGAGGAAGATCACCAAATGGACTTATATGAGAACACCTCTTTGTCTTCTATAAAAACCTCTTGGTCTTTTTAAGAAGCAGACCTTCTGGGCTCCTTAAGAAGACCTTCTGGGCTTCTTTAGAGAAGACCTTCTGGGCTACTTAAGAGAAGAAATTCTGGACTTCTTAAGATTACCTTCTGAACTTCTAAAGACAACCTTTTAGACTACTCTATAAGAAGACCTTCTGGACTTCTCTATAAGTCTTTCCGGCCTTCTATACGACCATCCGCTCTTCTATAAGAAGACGTTCTGGCCTTCTGGTCATTTATAGGAAGTCCTTCTGGTCTTCTATAGGAAGACCTTCTGGTCTTCCATAGGAAGACCTTCTGGCCTTCTATAGGAAGATCTTCTGGTCTTCTATAGGAAAACCTTCTGGTCCTCTATAGGAAGACCTTCTGGTCTTCTATAGGGATACTTTCTGGTCTTCTATAAGGATGCCTTCTGGTCTTCTATAAGGATACCTTTTGGTCTTCTATAGGAAGACCTTCTGGTCTTTTATAGGGAGACCTTCTGGTCTTTTATAGGGAGACCTTCTGGTCATCTATAGGAAGACCTCTTGGTCTTCTATAAGAATACATCTTGGTCCTCTTGTCTTCTATGAGAAGACCTTCTTGTCTTCTATGAGAAGACCTTCTTGTCTTCTATGAGAAGACCTTTTGTCTTCTATGAGAAGACCTTCTTGTCTTCTATGAGAAGACCTTCTCGTCTCTATGTGAAGGCCTTCTCGTCTTCTATGAGAAAACCTTCTCGTCTTCTATGTGAAGGCCTTCTCGTCTTCTATGTGAAGGCCTTCTTGTCTTCTATGAGAAGACCTCTTGGTCTTCTACGAGAAGACCTCTTGGTCATCTACGAGAAGACCTCTTGGTCTTCTACGAGAAGACCTCTTGGTCTTCTACGAGAAGACCTCTTGGTCTTCTACGAGAGGACCTCTTGGTCTTCTTCGAGAAGACCTCCTGGTCTTCTATGAGAAGACCTCCTGGTCTGGTATAAGACCTCCAGGTCTTCTATGAGAAGACCTCCTGGTCTTTTATGAGAAGACCTCCAGGTCTTCTATGAGAAGACCTCCTGGTCTTCTATGAGAAGACCTCCAGGTCTTCTATGAGAAGACCTCCAGGTCTTCTATGAGAAGACCTCCAGGTCTTCTATGAGAAGACCTCCAGGTCTTCTATGAGAAGACCTCCAGGTCTTCTATGAGAAGACCTTCTGGTCTTCCGTGAGAAAACCTCCAGGTCTTCTATGAGAAGACCTTCTGGTCTTCCGTGAGAAGACCTCCAGGTCTTCCGTGAGAAGACCTCCAGGTCTTCTATGAGAAGACCTTCTGGTCTTCCGTGAGAAGACCTCCAGGTCTTCTATGAGAAGACCTTCTGGTCTTCCGTGAGAAGACCTCTTGGTCTTCTACGAGAAGATCTCCTGGTGAGAAAACCTCCAGGTCTTCTATGAGAAGACCCCCTGGTCTTCTATGATCTATGGATCTTCTATAAGAAACCCTCCTCGTCTTCTTTGAGTAAACTTCTAACCCTCCTCGTCTTCTTTGAGTAGACTTCTAACCCTCCTCGTCTTCTTTGAGTAGAGATCTAACCCTCCTCGTCTTCTTTGAGTAGACTTCTATCCTTGTATGAGAAGATTTTTCTTTCCAAAAAATGTTCTCTTTGCAAATAT